AATACATCAATCATGCCTAAGTCTAGCAGCACAAAATACCCATCCTATGAATTTGTTTGGGAGCTAAGGACAAGGACATACAAAGGCGAACAAATTTAGTTTTCAAGAACTTAAGAAACGTTCGAAGGAAAGTACGCTTGGAGAAAGCATTCAAGGAGAGAAACCCATACCTTTTGATGTTGTTCTAGTGTGAAGCTATTGCCCGGAATCTCCTCCAAACTACACCCAATTCACTTCAACGTACACCCCACTTGTCGAACCTCTCTTAGCCTTGACGTTTTGATTACTTTGTCTTTTACTTAAAAAATCTTGTGAGTTCTTCAAGTGTGAAAAACTCTTGAGATGTTTTTCTAGTTTTTGTTGTGTTTGGCAGAATAAGGTGAGAGAGAGAGATTGACAACGTGAGAGAGAGTTGAGAAATGTGAGGGAGAGAGAGTTATTAGGATTAGGAGACTAAATTCAAGACTTAGTCAAAGTAGGTTTTAATTAACTTATAAAAATCTGATTTATTTTAATTAATACGTGAAAGGACCATTATGCCCTTAAAATTTTAGATTTTCAAATAATAATTAGATCACCTTAAGTATTTATCTATTCAATTTTTTTAGGATTGTTACATTATCCCCTCCCCTTTAGGAACATTCATCCCCGAATGACACTACCATTACATATAGTAATGCCAACTAGATCATAACTTAGTCGCTATGCATAGTCAACCAATAGCAACAAACTTGAAGAAATAAGGAAACATAGGCTTAAGAGTGGGAAGTCTAACCTCAATAGCTGAAAAGAGGAGGATAGAGGGGATCTCATGTCGGCCTCAGCCTCTAACATAGCACCCTCAACATGATGATTTCCCCACAATACCCTCACTGTGGCAATATCCTTGTTCCTCAGCCACTTGACCTGTCTTTCTAAAATCTCAACCAGTACCTCCTCATAAGACAATTCTTCACCAACCCCCAAACCTTCAACAGGTAGGATTGATGTTGGATCACCTAGGCACTTCTTCAACATAGAGACATGAAAGATTGGATGAATAGATGCTAGCTCCGCAGGCAATGCTAACTCATAGGCAACCTCACCCACACGTTGTAAGATCTCATATGGCCCCACATACCTCGGACTAAGCTTCCCTCTTTTACCAAATATCATCACCCTTTTCATAGGTGATATCTTCAAGTAAACCTGGTCACCAACATTAAATTCTAAGAACCACTTTCTATTATCGGCATATGATTTCTGTCTGCTGTAAGTAGTACCCAACTTGTCTCTAATCACTCTAGCTTTATCCAAGGCCTCATGAATGATCTCTGGACCCAAAATGGATTACTCTCTAACCTCGAACAACCCAACTGGAGATCTACATCTCCTACCATACAATGCCTGAAATGGTGTCGTCCTAATGGTGAAGTGATAGTTATTATTATACGAGAAATCTATCAAAGGAGATGGTCATCCCAGTTAACTTTGAAGTCAAACACACATGCTCTCATCATGCCTCCAATGTCTAAATGGTGCACTCTTCTTGCCCATTTGCTAAGGATGAAAGGCAGTACTAAGTTTCACCTGCATGCCCAAGCTTTTCTGGAAAGATCTCCACAAATGTGAAGTAAACTGAACTCCTCTATCTTAAACGATAGACAAAGGAATCCCATGCTATCTCACAATATCATCAATGTAGAGTATTGCATAATCCTTGGCTGTGTAAGTAGACTTCACAGAGAAAAAATGGGTACTTTTAATCAATATGTCCACAATAACCCATATAGAGTCATGTTGTCTCCTAGTCCTTGGAAGACCAACCACGAAGTCCATATTAATCGCCTCCCACTTCCAAGTCGAAACCTCAATAATTTGAGTCAGACCACCAGGCTTAAAATGCTCTGCCTTAACCTACTTACGATTAGCACAGTTAGCCACATATTCTGAAATGTACTTCTTCATGGCATCCCACCTATAAATCTGCATAAGATCATGATACATTTAGGTGGAACCTAGATGTATGGAATATGTGAAATCATGGGCCTCTGCCACAATCCTTGTCCGTAAATCATCCACATCTGGTACACACAACTTGTCCTTGTATCTAAGTATGTCATCATCTCCCAAAGTGAAAGACTCAATCATTTTTAATAACACTGAGTCCTTCAGCTCCATCAACATAGGATCAAGATGCTGGCCCTTTTTTACTTCAACTATCAGGTATGATTCAGAATTAGGGTGAACTGAAACACCCCCACTAGTAGAATCAACAAACAGCATACCCAGTTTGGTCAGTCTGTGTACCTTTTTTGCTAACTCCTTCTTATCGTCCTCAATGTGGATTGTACTCTGAATGCTCATCCTACTCAAAGCATCAGCCACAACATTAGCCTTACCTGGATGGTAGTGCACATTCATGTCATAATCCTTCAATAGCTCTAACCAGCTGTGTTGACGTAGATTCAACTCCCTTTGTGTGAACACATACTGGAGACTTTTATGATCTGTGAACGCATTCACATGCACTCCATACAGATAATGCCTCCACAGCTTCAATGCAAACACCAAAGCTGTCAACTCCAAGTCATGAGTGGGATAATTCTTTTCATGAACCTTGAGCTGTCTGGAAGCATAGGCTATCACCTCACTAGCCTGCATAAGAACAGATTCCTGACCAACCCTACATGAATAACAATAAACCGTGTAATTCTCACCACACTTAGATAGATTAAGCACCGGGGCTGAAGTGAGTCTATCCTTGAGCTCCTACAAACTCTTCTCACAAGTCTCCGTCCATTCGAACTTGGCTTTCTTCTTCGTCAAAGTTGTAAGTGGGGCAGCGATGGAAGAAAATCCCTCCACAAACCTGTGGTAGTAACCAGCCAATCCTAGAAATCTAGGTATATCGGTGGGAGTAAGAGGCTTTTGCCGGTTCTTAATAGCTTCAGTCTTCCTGGGGTCCACCTCTACACCTTGATCAAACACAACATGACCCAGGAAGGTCACTGATCTCAGCCAGAATTCACACTTGCTGAATTTAACATACAACTGATGTTGTCTAAATACATGCAAGGTTAGTCTCAATTGATGTTCATACTCTTCCTTGATCTTAGAGTAGATGAGAATGTCATCAATGAATACTATGACAAAAGAGTCAAGGTATTCATGGAAAACTCTGTTCATGAGATCCATAAATGATGCAGGTGCATTCGTGAGATCAAATGACATGAGTAGAAACTAATAGTGACCATAGAGGGTAAGGAAGGCTATTTTTGGGATATCTCCATCCCTAACCCTAAGTTGATGGTATGCTGAATGAAGATCAATCTTAGAGAAGAAACTAGACCCTTGAAGTTGATCGAACAAATCATCTATTCTGGGGAGGGGATACTTATTCTTTAAAGTGACTTTGTTGAGCTGCCAATAATCGATACACATTCGAAGGGTCCCATCTTTCTTCTTTACAAACAACACTAGAGAGCCCCAAAGGGATATGCTCGGCTGAATGAAACCCTTATCAGTGAGATCTTTTTACTGCAACTTCAACTCTTTGAATTCTACTGGAGTTATTCGATAAGGAGGAATTGAGATTGGTTTAGTGTTGGGTTCTAAGTCGATACAAAAGTCAATCTCTCGAAAGGGAGGGAATTCAGGCAAATCTTCAGGAAATGCATCTAAGAACTCATTCACTACGGGCACTGATTCTATGGAAGGAATGTCATGATATAAATCATTAACACTTACAAGATGACATAATAACCCCTTGGAAATCATTTTATTATCTGTAAGATTTGAAATCAAGGGATTAGGACGACTCGAATTGTACCCATCCCAGACTAACTCTTCTTCATCAGGGAAACAAAATCTCACCACTCTACTACGACAGTCCAAGAGAGCATAACAACTGTAAAGCAAGTCCATGCCAAGAATAATATCAATCATGCATGGGTAACTCAATCAAGTTTGCACACATAGTCTTACCACTTACAACTATTGGGCAATCCTTGTATACCCTATCAGTTCTTACATTATCTCCTAAAGGCGTATTAACCACTATAGGATCACGCAGAACTTCAGGTAGTATTTAAAAAGTAAGGGCAAGCAGAAGAGTCGGAAAGGAAAGCATAGACCCTTGATGAAGTAGAGCATATATAGAAGTTGAGAATACTTGCAGCAAACCTGTGACCACATCAGCGGACTTCTTCTGCTCCTCCCTTCCCTTCAGAACATAGAATATGTTCCTCTTGAAAGGCTCGGCTGCTGCTGCACTCTGAGGGTTAGGCCTAGGTTGAAAATTTCGTTTAAGGCTATGGATGTGATTCTGGCCTTAGATAAATTTGTAAAGCCTTCCCTTTGTATTAATTATAAGATTAATAAAGGTTGGGACGAATTCCTGTATATTCTGTTTGCTGTTTAACTTTGTTGCTTAAGTAATTCTATACTTAGTCAAATCTGTGTGAGTAAGATAGGCTGAGTGTTGCAATCGTTTGCAGGACTGCGTAGGATGACGTTTGGTAAAAATAAATCGACCCTCTCTCAATATATATAATAGTGAAAGGTGATAGTGCTTAGGTGTCAGCGCCACAATTAATCTCACATTTATGCTTTTAAAAGTCAACTAATAATTAATTATATATACAGCAATCCGTAAAGAAATTTCAATTTCGTAAAAAAAAAATCATGTTACTGCTAAATATACATGTGTCATCTTCTTAGGTATACACTATTTTTTATATTTAAAATAATAATTAATTAAAAAATAAATATTATCATTTGTTAGGATTTGGATATATGTACATGTCAACTACTTAAAGTTTAAAGTATCTGACATAAATTTATTCAAGTAACTTCTGTATTCGACATAAATATTAATTTACTATCGTTCAGTAGCCTAATATATAATCTGTTATTCTATAATAAAAAAAAATCAAATACATTTTTAACAATTAATTTTATATATATATATATGTATATAAAAGTTAACTTTGACTATAGATATATCCACAACCCTATAGAAGACATTAATATTACAATTTACTACTATGATTTGCGTAATAAATAATTATGTGTCATCTGCTCAAGTACCAAATAGCAATATGTTTCCATCTGAATTAAATTGTGATTCTGTAATAAAAATAAATCAAAATCAATTTTAATTAAGAGCAGTTTTTTTAATAAAGAGGTTCCATATCTCCCCACTTTCTTATCCACAATTCTTAAACTTGCCTCAAAAAGCACCGTTGAGAAAAAGATCCTTGGCCCTATTAAGCTGCTTCCTAACTCACTTGCAATATACCTATATAAAGATATCATATGTGTCAAATGTTTTTGTCGAGTTTCAAAAAAATATGGCTTTACAATGTAACACAATATCTGAAATTACCAAAAACAAAATGAAATGGAATTTAAAAGTTGGCGTTGTTCATTTTCGGACAACGCCTAACAAATACAAGCCAGATATTCCGATGGTGCTGATTTTGCAAAATGAAAAGGTACGATTTAAATCAGATTTTAAATTTAATTTTATCCTCAAATTTTATTATATATTGATGATAATGATTAATGGTTTTACAAAATTTTATTTGCCTATAGGATGATCGAATACATGCATTTATTGAAAATTACACAATAAAGTATTTTAGAGACAAGGCTCATGCTTAAAGTCTAGATTAAGGATTATAATATTAACAAGAATGATAATGTCTATAATGTAGTTAAGTTCATTGATGATGAAGCATTACTAAAGGAATATTGTCATCCTTCTATTATAAACAGTTTGACTGTTAAGTGTCAAAGCATTAAAATTAATTTAACTCTAATTTTCATAAAAATCAAATAAGTATAATTTTTGAAACAGGATGCATCCCTTGATTGTGAACAGATCATTGATGAAGATAAACTAATTGAGGTATATAATTTTATTCAACCTATATTTCGTATTTTAACTTTTCAGATTATAAAACATAGAATGTTATCTTAAATTATGGGTTTAACTATGCAACACACATAAATTAAATTTTTCTATATGCATTTAAATTATTTACACAATAGCATTTCAGATTATGGTTCCTTACAAACAAAAGATTTTGTAAAAGATGTGATTGATTTTACTGGAAAGTAATATCCAAATAATGGCAAAAACGTTGGAGTTCGGTCAACAAATGCAAATGATGAGAGAATAAATGTCAAATTATCACGTAACAAGTTACAGAATGTTACTAAGAATGAGAAGAAGACATAAGTTTGTCAGAATGATAGGTTTTAATTATTCAAGATAGCTTATTTTAGAATATTAAACTATCTACTTCAGTTTTAAGAATGTATTGAATTTTTTAAGTACTACTGATTGTTGTTATTTTACTTTCTATATATGCTTATCATGTCTTTTCACTTTTTAAGATGTATCATTCTTTGTGTGATATATTAAGTTAATTTCTCAAGTTTCAAATAGCAAAATCTATCAAATAACTTCAAATAAGAATGTGTTGAATACAGATAATATTATGACTGATGCAAGAAATAGTAATTACATACTAACCTTAACCTTAAGTATTCCATATAAAGCAGTTATCCTCCCAAAACATATACTTGTAGGAAATACTTCTTCAAATAAACAGTGTCTAAGTAATCTACAAAGCATAAAAGACAATTAATTAAATAATGAAATTTTTAAAGTAATTGTTCTCACATAAAAGTTAAAGGTAAAAGAAGTTGATGAACCACCTGCTTCACCAGCCACAACTTACGATAGATAAAAGCAAAAATCTGAGGAACTGCAAAGCATACCTGAAACTTCAGCAGAAACTGAAGAAAATATAGCATCAAGGAAATTGAGCCTCTTACTGTTTGAAGAAGTTAAGAAACAAGATGATACACCTGCATTGGATGTCACTAGCATATATATTGCAGAACTAACCAAGGAACCCCTGACTCAGATTATTCCTGATCAAGTTGTCGCTATTACCAAAAGTTAACCAGAGGTCCAAGCAGAGGCTGAAAAATATTTATACTTTAAGCAAAGAATCTTAAATAGACCGTGTGGAGTAAAAACATGACCAGCAGCCAACATTAGTTGACATCGAGGAACCATCAATTAAGGCTGTTCAGGACAAGAAGGAGCAAGTTGATCTAGCGGCAGAATTTCCAAAAGCAGAACACAAGGAAGAAGCTTCAAAACCTGTTTACATTGTAAAGGAAAAGCTAATGGAAGCTACTGAAAATATAAGACCTGAAGATATTGAGGCCGTTAGTGAAAATGATAAAGTGAATTAAGTCGATAAGGTAGAAAAGGACCCAAAAGGAGAACCTATTGTTCCAGAGAACTCAAATCAAGTTACCTCAACTACTTTTGTCACGACCCAAAACCGGGCCGCGACTGGCACCTACACTTACCCTCCTATGTGAGCGAACCAACCAATCTAAACCTTAACATTTCAATGTAATATCAACATAAAGTAATGCGGAAGACTTAAACTCATTAATAAAAACCAATAACTATTATTATCCCCAAAATCTGGAAGTCATCATCACAAGAACATCTATCTCAAATTACTAAATCTAAGAGTATCTAAGAAACTAAACATAAATAGAAACCTAGTCCATGCCGGAACTTCAAGGCATCAAAACATGAAGAAGAAGATTCAGTCCAAGCTAGAAGCTTTAGCTCACCCTGAAATCCGGTATAATTGAAGACTGGCTAGAATTACTGTTGAGTCAAAGATGACAGCACGTTTGCTGCACTCCACAAATAAACAAGAAGAAAACATAAAAGTAGGGGTCAGTACAAATCACGGGTACTGAGTAGATATCATCGGCCAACTCAAAATAGAAATCAATATATACCAAGTAATATCATAAAATCAACTATGATACTCAACATGTAGCAACAGCAAGTACTATATCATTAACAATTACCGTCAAGTTCACACATGAGGACTCAAGCCTCAATACCATACTCATTTGGGAATTATATTCATTAGATTGAGTATATTAACATCTTTCAAGATTCATTATCTTTATTTCTCTTGTGTCGGTACGTGACACTCCACTCCCTCATATTCATTAATCCTCTTGTGTCGGTACGTGACACTCCGATCCCCTACTACTATGTGTCGGAACGTGACACTCCGATCCCCTAAATCTACGTGTCGGTTCGTGACACCCGATCCCCTAAATCTACATGTCGGTTCGTGA